TAACATTTCTTAATTAAAATGTATGACCTGGAATTCCATCAGAAACTACTATATTCTACACATGTCCAAAAACCTTTACAACTCAGAGATCACTTCTCTCTAAACTCTGGGACCAATCCTTGTCTTAGTGTTCAGTTTTATGAAGTCTAGCTAAATACCTTAAGCCTTAGGGTTCCAGAAATGTTGCTTCTGATCTTGTAATCTATTTCTAAAAAGTGTACATGAAAGTAATTCCCCAAGTGCAATGCACTTAAGAAACATTATTATAAATTGATGCTATATTCCTGGGCCTAGTCCCTACTTCGTACATAAGAGCTGAAAAATTAGATCCTTAAATTTTTCCCCTGAGTCCCAGTAACCTACAGTATAAGTTTTCTATAGCTCCTATAACAAATTATCACAAATTTAGTTACTTAAAACAATATACTTATTCTCTCACAGCTCTGGAGGTAAGAAGCCCCAAATCAGTCTATCTGGGTTTTAGTCAAAATATCTGCAGAGCTGGTTCCTTCTGGAAACCCTAATGAAAGAAGCAGCTTGCTTTTTGCTTTTCTTCTGGAGGCCAACTTCATTCTATGGCTCATGGTCTTTTCCTTGATCATTCCTACTTCTTGCTTTTGTTGTCATATCTACTACTACTACTACTGATTCTTATTCACCTTTCTCTCTCTACTAAGGACCCTAGTGGTTATATTGGGCTCACCCAGATAATCCTGGATAATCTCCCTATCTTAAAATTTCTAATTTAGTCACATCTGTAAAGTCCCTTTCACCGTGTAACTCACGTATTCACAGGTTACATGGATTAGAACTTGGACACCTTTGGGAGTCTATTATTCAGTGTACTACACCTACCCTAATATCTAAAGCACGTGAAAATAGAGCCCTGTCTAGTCTTGATAATCACCCACCCAACACCACTACTATGGATAGGATAGCGCTTCCACAATGCCAGTTTTTAAATTAGAGTTCTGTTTCCTACAAATCTATGTATTTTAACACTGTTTACTGAACTGAATTTCTGATGACTTCCTGCTTCTGTACCCCCATTGCTTTAGGTCCTGCTCAGAATGATATCTTATTATTTATTGGCTAGGTTTCTCTGATACCACCTGCTTACCTGAGTTTCTTATGACTTTAATTATTGCATCCCTCAGGAAAAAAAA